GTTGGTCCAGTAGCACCGAGGAGCGGCGCTGCGGGACCAACCCAGCAGCACCCCAGCTGCTCTGCCCCAGGCATGTCCGATTCAGCCGCTGCTGGTCAGTTTCAACAGTGGCTGAATCTGGACGCCAGTTCCGACTTACATACAAATTCAACTTAAGAACAAACCTACGGTCCCTATCTTGTACGTAACCCGGGGACTGCCTGTAATGCACATTGGAAAAAATAATCCCAACTATACATACAATATAATGGGGACTAATACAGCTACAATTACTTAAGAGAGAGATCTTGGAGTCGTTGTGGATAGTTCTCTGAATACATCCACTCAATGTGCAGCGGCAGTCAAAAGAGCAAACAGAATGCTAGGAATCATTAAAAAAGGTATAGAGAGTAAGACAGAACATTTTATTGCCTCCATATAAAAACATGGTACACCCACATCTTGAATATTACATACAGATGTGGTTGCCTCATCTAAAAAAAGATCTATTTTTTGCACTGGAAGAGGTTCAGAAAAGGGCAACAAAAATTATTAGGGGTTTGGAATAGCTCCCATATGACGAAAGAATAAAAATACTTGGACTTTTCATTTCAGAAAAGAGGAGACTAAGGGGGGAATATGATAGAGGTCTATAAAATCATGACTGGTGTGGAAAAAGTGAATTAGGAAAAGTTATTTACTTATTCCCACAATATAAGAACTGGGGGGTTACCAAATGAAATTAATAGGCAGCAGGTTTAAAACAAAAGGAAGTTTTTCTTCACTCAACGTGCAGCCAACCTGTGGAACTTCTTGCCAGAGAATGTTGTGGAGACTAGCTAGGGTATGTCTACACTTGCACCCTAGTTCGAACTAGGGATGCAGATGCAGGCGACAGAAATTGCTAATGAAGCGGGGATTTAAATATCCCACACTTCATTAGTATGATCTTTGCGAAAGTGAAAGTGCGCGCCGGGACGCGTTAGTTCGAACCAACCCCCTTGGTTCGAACTAACGCCTCCTCATTCGATCCAAGGCATTTGGTTTGAACTAATGTGCACTTTCACTTTCAAAACAGCTGTTGAGCGGAGTAATGCACTGGCGAGATCATGCTAATGAAGTGCGGGATATTTAAATCCCTGCTTCATTAGCAATTTCGATCGCCTACATTTGCATCCCTAGTTCGAACTAGGGTGCAAGTGTAGATGTACCCTAAGACTTTATCAAAGTTCAAAAAAGAGCTAGATAGATTCATGAAGGTTAGGTCCATCAATGGCTATTAGCCAGGATGGGTAGGAATGGTATCACTAGCCTCTGTTTGTCTGGAAATGGGTTACAGGGGAGGGATCACGTCATGATTACCTGTTGTATTCCCTCCCTCTGGGGCATCTGGTATTGGCCACTGTCGGCAGACAAAATACTGGGCTAGATGGACCTTTGGTCTGACCCAGTATATCCTTTCTTATGTTTTCCTTGCAGCTTACTGGTCAAGGGCGAATTTTGTGTCATCCTCTGGCAGTACGTATCAATTAATTTTTTCAAGCCCTTGTTTTAATATTGCTACAATAATGACATTTTATCTGATGGAGTGCCTTTGTAGTTTTGCGAATAAGCTCCATAACCAGGTATACATTCTACTGTATGTACTCTAAAGTATTCATAATGTTATTAGAAATCTGTATGCAAACATCCACGTAGGTTAAAGTATGTGACATTCTTTTAAAATATTTTGTGCATTTTAAAATTGCCACATACAAGGCAAATTTCAAAATTTACAAGTGTTTGTGGTCTACATAAAAGCCAGCTGTTATTATTGATATTTATTTATTTACATTGTTGAACTTTGTTGATTGGTCATCTCCAGAAGATTAGAAGAGACATTGCTTAGCAGTAAACCAACTCCCCTTATGGTGATCAGCAACAGGGGAATGATGTGTTTTGGCTAAGGGGGAACCCTGGCAGAAGTAGGAGGGATAAAGGAATGGGGGGACCTGAAAAGAGAAAATGTAATTGCAGTACATTTGTGTGTGTGTGTATAGTAAAATTGATTTCACTACTTTTTCAAATGAGTGCAGTTTTTGAAATTTCATACAAGTTGCTGTAATTGGATGGACTCAGAAGCCTGAACACCATTGATATCAGTGGGGCTCTGTAGGCAAGTAGGGGTCAGGCTTTGTTATTGGAACTGTTTTCAAGTTTTACACTGTTTCTTGTGAATGTAGTACTGTAGTTGTGTTCATAGCAAGTAGGGATGTTAACATGGATTTATGTGTGTAAACGTGTATCTGCTGAAATTTTCAGCCGTTACATGTTTACACACAGGGGAGGGGAGGAATGAAGGTGGGAGCTGGTGCTTGCTGAGAGCCAGCAGGCTCTCTCATAAGCACTGGCTCATGTTTCCCTCCCTCCTGCTGCCTCTGTATCATAGGCAGGGGTTCATAGCAAGTAGGGATGTTAACATGGATTTATGTGTGTAAACGTGTATCTGCTGAAATTTTCAGCCGTTACATGTTTACACACAGGGGAGGGGAGGAATGAAGGTGGGAGCTGGTGCTTGCTGAGAGCCAGCAGGCTCTCTCATAAGCACTGGCTCATGTTTCCCTCCCTCCTGCTGCCTCTGTATCATAGGCAGGGGTGTGTATCATAGGCAGGGGTGGTGGGAGGCAGTCGGCTTGGCAGGAGCCAGTACGCACAGGGAGCCGGCTTCTAAGCTGGCTCTCCGTGTGTACTGGCTCCTGCCTGCTTGTCTCTCTATGAGAGGCAGCAGTATGGAGATGTGTGTGGGGAGGCGGGGGGAGGGCGAGGTGGCTTCATGAGAACCAGTGCTCGGGGAGGAGCAGACTTTTAAAACTGAGAGGATTACCCGATGAGCCCAAGCCCATCGGGTAACCATTTTCTCTTATGGCCCTGCTATAAGTCACCCCAGTATACATCCATTCCACACTAAAGTCATTGATGCTGGTAGGAACTGATGCGTTATAGGTCCTCCCATTCCCTGCTTTTAAGTCGTACAACCCCCTCTCCCAATTTGCACAAATGGAAGTCAGCCTTGGGAAAAAAATTCCCCACTTAAAGTTGTGCTATAAGTCCAAGTTTTTTGGAACGTATCTTGGACTTATAGCAAAGACAGCCTGTACATAGTCACATCCCCATTAGCAAGTGAGATTGCCACTAAAAATGGGGATTTTTAAAAATGCAAATTGTTCAGAACCAGAAAATTACTATCGCATCATGACTTCCCTTCAGGGTGGATTGATGTAAATCAAAGCAATTTATTAGGGACGTTGAATTTAGATTAATTAACTAATTGAATAGTCAATGGGATTTCTATTGACTATTCGATTAGTTTACAAGGGCACCCCTGCCTTTGAACTGTAGCAAGAGCTTTCCAGACTCCTGTTGCAGTTGAAAAGTGGAAGTCCTGCAGGGAGCAGGAGACCAGTGGGGGACTCTCCTGCTGGCCCTGAGCTCCCTGCAGTGCCTCAGACTTTGAAATGTACAAGAGCCCTGGCTGGACTCTTGTACATTTCAAAAGGAAGCCCCACAGGGACCAGAGGGCTTCTGCTTTTGAAATATACAAGAGCCATGGTGGGGCTTTTGTACATTTCAAAAGCAGAGTCACAGCAGAAGTGGCACGAGCGGAGATTGCTTCAGTCCCTGCTTGTGCTGTTTCCCATTGTGCCTCTACCTTCCCTCTCTTGCTTTTAAATTGGCTTCCCCCAGCATGGGCTCCTACTTCCCCCTTTGCTGCCTCTCTCTGATAAAGGCAACGGCGGGGAAGCGACTAGTCACATCACTAGTCGACTGTCTGATAAGCTTCTGCTTATTGGATAGTTGATCAGTTGCTTACATCCCTAATTTAAATAATTGAGTTAAATCATGATTGAGAAAATAAGTACGTAATGGGGTTCCCTTGGAAAAACTGAGTTATCCTGCAGTAAAAGAAAGAATAGACTTATGGCATCACCATTATGGTCTGTGACCATGTTGTTTCAAAATAAGAGGCATGTATTATCTAATATTTAATAAAATAATGACAGTGGCAGTTGTCAGCTCTAGATTTCTCTTACTGCAGCTTTCTGGACTGTATACATGGGTGTAGCTAAGCTGAACTTTTTTTTTCTATCAATATCCAATACAACAAACAACCTGGGAATGTACTTGTCAAATCATTCTTATCCTAAAAGGCACAGAGAGAGAGTCTTGAAGAATGAGACTAAAAGTGTAGGTGTAGCATGTTTGTGATGAGATTTAATTGTAACGTATTTTTAAAAGAGAACTTTAATATTTTGACGATTTAAAAAAATAAAAACATTTGATTTAAATAAAAATCCATTTTATATTTAAAAAAAAAACGATTAATTTGTATCCACCCTGCTTCCCTTCTATGGTTCATAACCGTTTTATACAACTTTTGCAACTATTCTCAGTAGGGATGTTAGCATGTAGTTATTAGATTGTTCTTGAACCCAGGACTTCTCTACATTGCAGTGTTACCAGTTAGCTGTTGGCAAAATCATTCCTGAGACCTCTACATTAGGAAATTGGCACTGAAAACAATTTGACTGCAAGTTTAGAAAGGACCAAAGGGTTCCTGCACTTTTCATGTGCCTTGGTTGAGGTTCTTCATATTTAAGCTAGCAGAGGGAGATTGCAGCAGAATTTAAACTCCTTCTCCTCTAAATGCTAACTAATGTTCCTTATCTGCTTCTTTTAACTATCCAGTTTTTACGTGTTTATAGACTGTTAGTTTTGATTGTTACCTACTAGTTTTCCCTTTGATTGGTTTTCCGTTTGATATTTATATACCCACTGTCTCTTTGTCCCCCCCTCTCATTTTTTCTCTCTCCCCGCTTCCCTTTTCCCCTGTTTAAATTTGGTTCTGGACATCCAACACTCCAGTCATCTGAAGAAGTGGGCTGTGCCAACGAAAGCTCATGATGCCATCTACATGTTTTGTTAGTCTTTAAAGTGCTACCAGACCATTTGTTGTTTTTTAAGTTTATCCTGTACAAACTAACTCGGCTACTCCTGTGAAGGTTTTAATCCCCTGATACAGTCAGACAGTATGGGAATTGTTTAGAATAGCAGACTCTCTCACAACAGGAAGGCCAGGGAATGAGGAGGCTTGACACTAACCACGTGAGAGTCTGGGTTGGTGAAGTGACAGCATGCTTTTCTTCCCATTCCTCAGCCAGAGGAGGATGCTGGGAGAGGGCTTTGAATTTATCAAAATCCACAATTAACAAATCTATGGAACATCACTTACCACCCTCGTTCTTTCCAGTAGTGAAGGTGGGGCTTAAAATGTGAGTTACATATCTTATCAAGGTAGTTCTAGTACAGAGTGGTAAACTTTGTCAGTGGACTTCCCACTTCATTTTTGTATCAGCCTGTGGTTAGAAGGTATCTGGTATTTTAAACCATGGTGTAATTATTAGATATTTTTATAGCACAATTTGTTGTTAGTCTTTCTCTACTAGAGAATTTCTTTACTGCTTAGTGTTTCCTTAATCTGCACAATGTGGGCAGACTGTATAGCTTTTTCTTGTGAATTAACTCACACCACACATTCTCTTCTCGTAGAGACTTCGCTTAAGTGGTAAGAACAGTGTATGAATAATTAGATGCAAAACTCTGAATTGTGTTAACAAGCACTGTACATCTCTGTCATTCATGGGAACCATTCTGAAAAGGCATCTCACTGTCTTTTAAACAGTTTGTATCTTGGATTTGGATAAACATTAGTGCCTACTGTCTGTTTTGCAGGCTTATTTGTGGCATTGTAATGTTGGGAAGGTCTGCACTGCTTACTGCTGTACATGGAAGAAGGTAGATTTCTGAAGCTATTTTAGCTTCTTGCATATTTTTGATCACTATCTCACACTCCAAGGCTGCGTCTAGACTGGCATGATTTTGCGCAAATACTTTTAACAGAAAAGTTTTTCCATTAAAAGTATTTGCGCAAGAGCGCGTCTATACTGGCATGTGCCTTTGCGCAAAAGATTTGCTTTTGCACAAAAGCATCCGTGCCAGTATAGATGCTCTCTTGTGCAAGAAAGCTCCGATGGCCATTTTAGCCATCGGGCTTTCTTGCGCAAGAAATTAACTTGGTTATTTGCGCAAGAAGCACTGATTTCATACAGTAGAACGTCAGTGTTCTTGCACAAATACTTGCGGCCAGTGTAGACAGGCGCCAAGATTTTGTGCAAAAGCTACTGCTTTTGCACAAAATCTTGCCAGTCTAGACGCACCCCAATGTCTTTGGACTTTTTGGTGTTTAATTTGTAAATATTACAAATACATTAGTCTTCAACTTTTCGCTGTAATAAGTTCTTGAAGCCTGTATTATTTTATAGCTTAGAACAGTGTTTCTCAAAGCGTTCCATGAGTCTTCTTTGGGAAAGCTGCTAGTGGGCCCAAGCCACTTTATTTAGTTACTGTATAGATTTTGTAGCCATGGAGCCTTGTGGCTCCCACTGACATTAGTTCACTGTTTCCAGCCAAGGGGACTGTGGGAAATGGTGGCCCATGCTACCCCACTTCCCACTGCTCCCCTGGGCTGGAAACAAAATAGTATTGCATTAAAAACAAAAATAATAATAAATGTAATACATATAATTTGATATAATAGATATAACAGATTTTTAGTGTAATTTGTGAATATATTGTAATATGTGCATTTAAATATCAATCATATGCACTTTGGTTTAGGCAGTCCTGCAAAGGTTCAGTGTCTTCCTCTAAAGTTAGAACTGTCAGACAAAGGTAAAATTTATTGTGGTTAATGTTATTGAAATGAAAAATCCTTGCACTAAAGGTAGCAGAATATATATGAAGGGATTAAAACACTTTACATTTAATAATATTTAAAGTCCAAACTGGTGACTGACTATATTTAATTTTGATAAGTTGGTTTCTGGAGCTCATTTTGTCTTTCCTTTTCTGCATGCTGATTTAGTGTGGTTTCTATAGATAAATGTACATTTACCAAATGTGCTTTTTGTCACTGTTAGATTTCCAGCTAGAGACCTATGTGCTTCTACTCATTTCCCAATGAAGTACATCCTGGTCACCGGTGGTGTCATATCTGGCATTGGCAAAGGAATCATTGCAAGCAGCATTGGCACCATATTGAAATCATGTGGTCTACGAGTCACTGCAATCAAAATTGATCCTTATATTAACATAGATGCTGGAACCTTCTCACCATATGAGCATGGTAGGGTGATGCTGTTTCTTTCTGCATGCATAAATTAAATTAAGTTTTATTTTCATAAACAGGATTTAAATTTATAATGTTTTTAAAAAATTATAGATCTTTACTATAATGCTATCTTATTCATCTATGTGACAGTGCAGTATTGCTTCCTACTAATATTTTCAAGTGCATTGCCATTTATTTTATATAACTCAGGTGAAAGGGATTCTACCGCTTTTGCTGGTAAATTATTCCACAATCTAATAGACTGCACTGTTGGGAATTTTTCCTTGATATTCACTTTGCCCGATCTTTGTCTCAACTTGATAGGTAAGGCATTTGATAAAGTGCTCTCCAAAAATTTTGTTTGCAAAACTAATTCATATTCATTTTCTTATGAACACTATCACCCAGAGTGAAAGCTAGATAACAAAATGAAATGACACACAAAATGGGGATACGTAGCTATGGACTGCTGGAAATATTACTGCTAAATGAGATTTTATTTATTGGCATCAGTAGTGAATGATACATGGTAAGGTTAAACAAAAATTAATTCAATTCAGATTTTACTTAATTTGAAAGGGGTGCAAACATCTGCAGAAACAGAGAAATAACATAAAAGGATCTAAAGAGTTTGGAAACAACAATATAAGAATCTGCTTGGAAATACAAACTATTGTACAATCCAAGAAACAAATCTGAACACATATTTAGAGGGAGAGAACCACCTGGAAAGCGGTGATGCCATAAACTCAGTTAGCTATGTTTTCATAATGCAGTATAGTGACAAAAAGTGGCCAATGGAATTTTAGGCTGCTCTGCCAAAGGCATCATATCATGGAGGTGATAAGGACTCTTTAACATAGGTGAGATAGTAGCTACAATGTGAAATCAAAATCAGTGGGATTACACATGTGTAACAGGTCAAAATTTGACCCCTGTGCCAAAGTACCTTCTCTGACTCACTGAGCTTAGCACTTCCTTCTTTGACAGTGGTGGGGCGTGGAGTAAATCAGCCCCATTCTGGATATAGTTTGTCTTCCCACTCTGTGTTTATAAATATTTTCAAGGTAGGTCTTGGGGCAGGTTTGAGACAAAAGAGACAAAATCATCAACACAAAATAGAGGAGAATACCTTTTCCTGCCACCCCACTCTTTGGAGCTATTGGGGGGATTTTCCTTTTATTGGTCCTCCTGGGGTATTAATCCTTCCCCTATACTGTCCCTCAGATTTGGTAGTTTCCCTTGTAGGGAGTAGAACAGTCTCTCAACATGGAGAAACCTCTCTCCCTACTGACCCTAGCCTTGTCTCTCCTCCCCCTCTTTCACCAAAGGGGGAGTTTTTAAAAGTCTTAGGCCTGAGGTAATACTTTTTCAGCTTTTAGGAAAAAGGGCCTTTACTATTTTAGGACTAACAGACTTGCCTTCCAACACTCTCCTGAACAGTCCAGCCTGACTTTGTGAGACCATTCATTTTGTTCTCAGCACCTCAGTACCAAGTGTCTGTCAACAAATTGGAGGCTATTTGAACAGCAACATAAATAATTAAGGTATCATAAGGCTTATGAGACATGATTTAAATAATTAAATATGTATAATTTGACATTAACAAGAAAGTTGGGTCTGTTGACATTTCAAATGCCAGTCCAGAAGGACTGTTATAAAGAGATCTGCGTTTGAATGAGGTCAGTTGGATTGAACATAAGGCAAAAAAGTTCTAACTAGGGCAAATGTGTATATTGTTGACTAGCAGAGTAGTGAAGAGCACGATGGGATCTACCAATATGTCTTGATCAAGCTGTTTGACCAGAGGTGGGAAATATCGGCCTGCAGGCCAGATCTGGTCCTCCAGGGTTAGCCCCTGGTGGGCCACCACCACTTTATTTGCCTGTGCCTCTCTATAGGTACAAACAATCGCAGCTCCTCTTGGCTGTGGATTGTTCTTCCTGGCCAGTAGGAGCTGCAGGAAGCAGTGTTCCAGTCCGCAGCACTTCCCATAGCTCCCACGGAGTAGGAATGGCGAGCTGCAGCCAACAGGAACTGCTGGTACCTGCAGAGGTGTAAGTAAATATAGTGGCCGTGGCTCCCCAGGAGCTAACCCTGGAGAACCACTGCCGTTTTATTGCCCTCCTATATCCTAAAACTTCTATATCCTTCTGATATCCTAAAACTCCTAGAAGACACCTCAGGCATGAATTAAATAATCAAATCAGAATGGATTGGCTGAGACAAATTCATAAAGGGCATGTCTACAATGCAAAGTTAATTCGAAATAACAGCCATTATTTCAAATTAACTTTAATAGCGTCTATACATGCAAACTGCTGATTTGAATTTAATTCGAAATAGCGGAGCGCTTAATTCAAATTTGGTAAACCTAATTCTACGAGGAGTAATGCCAAATTCAAAATAGCTAATTCTAAATAAGTGCTGTGTAGACACTTAATTCGAATTAGCCGGCCTCCAGTCCTTCCCAGTTTCCCCGGGTGGCCACTCTGGGCCAAACCAGGAAAACTCCTCTCCTCTCCTCCAGTCCCAGAGCCCTTAAAGGGGTAGACTCTGGCCAGATTGCACGTGCCAGTTCCAGCCTTGCCAGCAGTCTCTGCCCCTGACCCAGTGGCCCCCGGATGAGCCAGGCAGCCAGTCACAGCCAGCCCTGACCCCCAGCACCCAGGAGCACCCAGGAGCCAGGAGCCACCCCCAGCACCCAGGAGTCCTAGACAAGTGCAGAGGTCATGGACCTCATTGAGGTTTGGGGACAGGCCCCAACATCCATGATCTCCACACTAGGAGGAGGAACATGGCCGTCTACAGCCACATAGTGGCCACCATGGCCTGAAAGGGACACAGGCACACCCAGGAGCAGGTGCACCTGAAAGTGAAGGAGCTGCAGCAGGCGAACGCCAGGGCCACCGGGGCAGCGCCGCAGCAGAGGCTGCTACCTGCCCTTACTTCCCCGCCCTCGACTAACTGCTGGAGGGTGGGGTGGTCCACACCAGCCCAGGAGCCAGGACCGGAGGGCCCTGACCCGGGCACACCGGAGGGGCCACCGCCAGCTGTTCTGGCACCGGAGTCAGCAGGCTCATCCAGGGAGGCCATACCGGGTAAGTGCCAGCACTGTCCCCTGCCCGGAGGGGGGGGGGAGAGATACACGGAGGGAGACCAGGGACCGTGCACGTGGGCCTTGCCTCCCATGGATCATGCAGCCACCTGTGCACATGCGAGCATGTGCTATGCCACCCTTGGGCAGGTGGCTCCAGCTGCCTGACATCCAGGGGCCGTGGTCCAATAGGCACATGCGTGTGTGAAGAGACCTGATATGCTCCCATCCCTGGGGCGGGACCCAGCAGGACACTCTCCCTTCACACACCACCTATACACAGAGGTAGGGGACATCTCCCCCCCGCCCTGGCCACACCGAACATGGCACAGGGGCATGGGTGCGGTCTTGGGGCAGCTCCTAGTCCCGGGGAGAGCCAGACATCTTGACCATGGCCTCTGTGCAAGCACAGCAGCTCTGACAGTGCAGGGCACGGTTGCCCTCACGTCAAAGGCGGGGGCTGGGCATCATCCACTGTGTCCCCGGGGAGAAGAGACTACTTCTCTTCTTTCTTTACAGCTGCACTAGCTGCTCATGCAGGGTGCACCACCCCGCCCGGGACATGCTCCGGACCACCACCATGTGACAGGAGTACTGGGACCAGCACCTGGGGGCCTTGCGAGCCCTGCACCACACCATTGAGGCCTGGATGCAGGAAGACATGCAGCTCCACCGGGAGCAGCTGGCTGAGGACTGAGCCAGAAACGCTAACCTGCAGGCCCTGTTGTAGAGCATGGTGCCCTGTGCTGGTCCTGTACCTGCTGCCCCCCATTTACTGTCCCTCGTCCCAGTCCTGCCCCCCTCCCACTGTTTCCTCCTCAACCTCCACACCCTTCTCCTCAATGTCCACACCTCCCACCTCAACCTCCGCACCCTCCACCCCATCCCCCCAGGGACACCGAGGCCCCCTCCCTCGCCGTGTTGGGAGGCGGGTGGCCCCGACCCCCACCCCT